AATCATCAAGGGAGAAGCCATATCAATCAGGTGGGTGAGGTACACGTGAAGAATGTCGTGACTAAGTAGAGTTATCAATAGGCGTAGGAAAAGAAGCACTTATAGGTAGGGCAGAGGTTTGGCCTTGCCCTGGTTGGTGAGATAAAGTGTGTGTGGATTGGTGTTGTTGGCCTTGCCGTTGAGGCGTTAAAATGTGTGATAGTTTATCAGTGGAGAAATCTGGAAAGAAAGGAGCAGAGGATCCTGATGATTTTACAATTGAAGAGTAATAAAAAATGCTTTCCTAAAAGACGACATTGCGAAAAATGCATACACGACGAGCTGTTGGATCATAACATAGAAACCCCTTTTGGTCGGGGCACTAACCCACAAAAACACAAATGACTGCTTGAACAGAAAATTTTGTCCGTTCATGCTGATGAAGATGAATGAAACATACACACCAAAAAACATGCAATAGAGAATAATCATGACGAACATGAAATAATCAATAATATGGGGATTGTTTATGCAAAACCAAGGATGGGAGATGATTTATGAGATAAACAACTGTTGATGCAGCTTCAACCCAAAACCCATGAGAAATACAAGAGTCATGCATAATGGTCCTCACAACTTCTAAGATATGGCAGTTTTTCCTTTCAGTGATGCCATTCTGTTGTGGACTATATGGACAAGTTTTTTGTGATTGAATATACTATGTTTTCAAAAAGTCTTGAAAATTATTTGAAAAGTATTCTCCTCTAGAGTTTGACCGTAAGATTTTTAATTTGGTATTAAACTGACTTGCAATTATGGATAAAAATGTTTTAAAATGGGAGAACACTTCTGATTTATGGTGCATAAAGTATATCTAGGTATATTGTGTATAATCATCAATGAACAAAACAAAATACTTATATCCCATTCTAGATAAAGTTGGAGCAAGACCCCACACATCACTATGACTGAGATAGAAATGTGCAGTTGTTTTATCTACTCGAGTCGAAAAAAGGCAAACTAGTGCTTTTATTCAAAGAACAACTAATACAAGATTTATTAATATAATTCAAATCAAGGGCTTTATTGAGCAATGAACCAGAATGAAACAAAATATCTAATTTATTTGCATTCGGATGACCGAGTCTCCGATGCCACATATGCCATTGTTTATTGAAAATAGAAAAAATAGAAGTCGGTGAAGAAAAGAAAGAAGCATCATGGTTTGGTTCTCAAAAGAAGCATCATGGTTTGATTTCTCAAACTCCAAGACAAACAAACGACCAATTCTACGCCCCTTCCTTGTCACTCTCTCAGTGCGTTAGTCTTGTATTAGACAACTATCACGAGAAAATTGAGCAGTATAACCATCATCAACTAGTTGGCCCACAGAGATTAGATTAACAGTTAATTTAAAAACGAATAGGACATTACGTACATAAAAAAATGTACCACGAGATAGAGAAATTGAGAGATTATTAGTATCAATAATATTCAGTTGCTCCCCATTAGCGGTAATAATCTGACTATTACCTTGGTATGGTTTAATAGATGCTGGACTTGTATGCATTCCAGTCATATGATTAAAGGCACTCTAGTCAATAAACCAAAGGGAATTTACACTAGGGGATATGTGAGAGTTCATACCAGATAAGCCCATCACAGATAAAGCAGAAGAGATAGCCATAGATATAGAGTTTTGTACTAACTATCGAATATCATCTGATGTCTGGGACATTATCATATTTGAGTCATGAATAGTGGTGGATGGAGGGGTCTCTACCTTTATTCCTTTGAAAGCATCATTAGCAGCTTGGTATGCCTTGTAAAAAGGTTTTCGTGTATCGAATGCTCGGTTGCCTCGTCGAGAAGGATGTCGACATTCTGTGATAATATGTCGAGCACGTTTATAATAAGTACAAATTTTTTTCTTCTTACACTTGGATGCTCTAAAGACCATATTCTTTACACTTGTAACATTGTAGAAAATATGGGTCCTTTTGTGATGATGTTCCTCTAGCCTGTTGAGCTACAAGTGTAGACTTTATATCCTTCTTCCCTCAATGGTGGCTTAGGTCGTGATTCGTGTTTCCTCACGAAGTAATTCATCGAGAATGACATCCATATTTGCTAATGTTTCGCGATTCAAAATATTAGCTCGAACAATCTCATAGTGGGGTTGTAACTTCATCAAAAGCTACATCACCTTCATGTCACCATTTATCTCTATTAAGCTCTTAATGCAACAAGCACTAGTGATAACCTTCAAGTTTATAGATTCATATTCTGTCAACAAGTTCATAAAGTCAACATACTATTCTTGAATAGTTTTCTCCCATTGGCTATAAGAAGACATATTATACTCAATTTAGAAACGTCTTGTAAGATTTGATTGCTGATAACGTTTTTTCAAATATTCTCACATTTATTTCACATTTATTTCATAGCATGAAAGCCTCACATTGGCCTTTCAATATCCAGATCGACAAAGCCAATGTTCCATGAGATAATTTTTGCATTGTTGATCTTCCATTGTTGGATATCTTTAGTATTGAGTATCGCTGGTTCAAACTCAGTGCCATCAACATACTTCCACAAACCTTTCTCTTCAACAAAATATTAATGGAATCGCCAATCGAGATAGTTTTTCCCATCAAGTTTTATAGCCAATGCATCTCCTTTGTCAGAAGCCATGTTTGAATTGTATCAGAACTCAAGAGTGTAGGTTTCTAATGCAAACTCCAAGACGCTCTCCATGGTCCCTATGGACCACCTCTTTCTACCCCTTTTTTTTTTAAAAAAAAAGCAACAAGAGAAGAAGGTAGGGTTTCTAACACAGGGTGTTGACGAGAAAGCCAATATGAAACCAGAACAGTTGGACAAGCTCGCAAAAATTGAGGGATGGCGTGAGAAGCATAAGGCCGAGACATAGATTTATAGAGGGATCGTAGCCTACAGCGCTTTGTGGGTCTGAAGGGCTGCATGGCTGTGAACCCTATTGTTAGCAGGCATACGAACACGACTTGCAGTGGCCAGCATCTTGAAACCCTGCAGCATCGTGAAACCTGAAGTGGCCAGCATCTTATGAATATGGATGGGTTGATTGTTAATGATGCTCCGTTGATGGGGAATTTGCAGAGCATTTATATGCAGGCAGTTAAGACATGCAACTGTAATGGACTTTTGTTTGGGTTGATCAATACAGAGTTTCAAAGGGTGAGAATAAGAGATTGAGGAATAAGGCTAAAAAGAAATACAATGGAATTGAGGAATATAGGGTTGTTGGGGTTTCTGTGAGGGACGACGATTCGGAGACAATGCATAGAGTTGGGGTTTTTGTTAAAAAAAATTGAACTTTGCAATAGGAAAAATTGACAGAGCTTACGAAGGTAAAGCCAAGAACGAGAGAGATGATTGATACGGCAAAGGAACAGATTCAACTCTTCCACAACTATGGACGAACGCACATGGACCACAATCAAGAGAGAGACGATGCTCTGATACCATGTTAAAATTCCGAATCCTCTATATATGGATTAATTGTCAAGAATATACAAAGTCCCATATAAATATACGGCTAAACAGTTATTGATAATGACTAACTAATCTAGCTTTATCAAGAGAGATATCTACATCAAATACAAGATAAATTAAAATTAAAAATTATTCTCAGCTATCTCACCTTACCTCTACAGCTACAGATGCATCCGTATGCCAACTGCACCCTATATTTTATGGTGGATGGGAAAATTTGGAGTGGGCGAAACACCCAATGGAACAAAATATTTTCAAAATGAGGGATCTTACTATAAAATATATTGCATTAATGCAGAAAAAGGAGTAATGTCATTGAAAGTGATTTGATAAATAATTTATTATATTTATTGTAGAAAAATGTGTACTATCGTTCAAATGGATCATAAAGTTGACAGTAAATTTGTTGTAAAACTCCATTATAGGAAGAATGTAAGAAGGCCTTTTTAAAATTTTAAAATTGCCCAAATATTTCTTGTTAAAATGCAAAATTAACCATATTCTTATTCTAGGTGAAATTTGTCCCAACTCTTTTTGGGGGAATGTCGACTCCACAGGAAGAAGCATGGAAGGCGTGATTTTTTTGTTATTGCATCAGTCCCCCTTGCCTAGTTTGTTTTAGGGTTGGGAAACCTTCTCCAAATCCAGGAGCAAAAACCTACAACAATAGAAAAATCCAACGGCTAGTTATTGACAGTTGAACTAGCCAAATAAAGAGATTTAGAACGACTGAATGAGAGGGATAAAAAACCTATTATTTAAATCGATATTTCTCTTTCTGCTACAACTTTTCTCTCTATTCTTGGCATCTATCTCTCTTTATGAACAACCTATTCCATTAAATTATTCCATATAGCTTATTTTAAAAATCAAAATTCTTAAGCTAATGCAAAAATAAAAAATAAATTGAGTTAAAAGATCCATTTATTTCCATGAATTGTATTTTAAACTTCATTTTGACTATCAAATGACTTTAATAGACAACAAACACTCATGTATAAGACAAATTTGTAGGCTTTATATATTGGGTGCGGTTTGTAGAGAGCCTAGGCCATAAACAATTAAATTAGAGCCTATATAAACTTTTCCCTTATATATTTTTAATACAATAATAAAAAACTATCTGTAGTTGTTACTATCTTTTTTAGAACTAAAAAATAAAATTTTAAAAAATTATGGCGTTTTTTTTTAAAAAGTTATAGTGATTTTTTTAAAAAAATTTAAGCCGAAACCGGCCCATTCTGCAATCAGAATAATAGAACCACCGAGTCGGTAAAGTTGTGGCCGAACCGGTTCAATAATACGTATTTTAAAGTGCCATCTTACACTCAAAACACCGGTCGCACAAAGGCGTTGGTGGGCCACACGTATATGGGTGGAATACTAAAATAATGAGTGCCCAAACTACTTGGGGCATTATCGGAACTTGAGCATAGGAAATAGTATCTCCATATATAAAAGCGTTTTTTCCTTCACATCCACTCACACAGAAGGCGTCTTCTAGATTTTTAGGGTTTTGCTTAATAGCGTTTCTGCAACCTAAGGTTGGCCGCCTCTGCTATCTACACTCCGCCTCTGCTATCTACACTTAATCTTACTCCTCTTTAGCTCTTTTGAGATCTTTATTATCCTCTGTTTTGGCTATCTTCTGTAGCTGATCCTCTGTTTTGGCTATCTCTTGTAGCTTGTTTTGTGGAAGTTTTCTATTCATTTAGCGGAATTAACAGTTTCTATTGCTTGGTATTGTTTTGTTGCGGTTTTGAGATGTATTCTTATTTGTTGGAGTTAGTTTCCTGTGTTTTTTGATTTTGTGAATCGCTTTCCCCATGTTTGAAATCTGGTTTTGTTGTCTATGGTTTGGTTTACTAGTGTTTAGATCGGGCCTTGGTGTACAGTTAAGTTCTTTGTCATTTGTGGAAACTGTAGTTCTTGATAGTTTTATATTTGGTTTCCCCTTGCTTTCGGTGAAACACTGTGGGATTGTTTGGTTTGATGCCTTTGAATTTTATTGCTTTTGAGTTATTGATTTTTATCTCTTTTCTCTCTCTCTTTTTTTTTTTTCTGAATAATCTCATAGCACCTACCTGATGATGATCCTTGAGATGAAATTTGTGGACTACTAAATTTGAATTATGTTGAAGATATTTCTCTACTTGACTTCCAGTATGTTTAATTTTTTTTGTTTTGGCTCACATGAAATAATAGGTGGTTTGAAGTTTGTCCTAATTTTTTGGATTCAGTATCCAATGTTTGCAGTTTGATTTTAATTTTCTCCCATGTTTCTTTGTGGTGTTTTGCATACAATAAACCTGGTTATCATTAGATGGAAACACTTAAAGTTTGTCATGGTTATCAGTAGATGGAAACACTTAAAGTTTGTCATTAGCATGTTTGAGTAAATGGGTTTCATTAAATACTTATTTTTTGTGAGATCTACAATTTTGAAGAATTATTTGTCATTTAAACACATGTGATGGCTTTTGTTGATATGTATAATGCAAGATCAGTACATGGTACTATGGTAGTGGGCATTGCCTTGCTGATATGGTTTTGGTCTTAAGAGTGGATGTAAAGAATTCCAGGGAGTTATTGTACAGGTTCCATATACATCTTCCGGGGAATATTATCTCTTAACTATGAGAAGAGGTTGGAAGTCATACTTGTTTGAACATTTGGAACATAACTAAAAGTGAATGCACGAAACTCCATCCTACAGATTAAATAATTTTTGGGCCTACCTAAACGTTGAGTCTTATGTGATACTGTCCTGAACTATATCTACAACTCTTCTTTTATTATTTGACTTCTTTGAAGATTAATCTTACAATAAATTGTTATGAGAAATATCTATATTATGTATTTTTAGAAGTTAGGAAGTCAACTGTGAGTGTGAATATTGAGGAAGAATTGCTTCATGTGAACTTGAGAAGAAGTAATCTGGCAGACATAAGCAATATTGAAGAAAAGAATATTGAGGAAGGACTTGCAGTTGGTAATGTAGCACAATATGGTGGCCATGAAAGTTTTGTGGCTTAAAAAAGTTGAGTTGTGGAAATATTACAGAATTAACTAATTGAAATAGTGTGTGAAATGATTGGGTCTAATGCAAGTCAAAGACAAACATATGGTCAACTGTAGCAGCTCGGAGGAACTGAAATTTACTGCAAGCTGAAGGCACACATTTAGGAATTAAGATGACTTACACCCCTGTGCATTAGGAATTTTGAAACACCATTAGAAGAATGGGATATGTTAGTGTTAAAATGCTTCTAATTTGTGGTACTTCGAGACTGAGTTTGGCCATAATATCTACAGCAATTTGTCCCATATTTGGGACAAACGTACAAAATAAATTAGCATGATTCGAGCAATTGATTATTTGTGATTTAATGTCTTCGTGATAATTCTTTATTTCTACCTTTTTTGGATGACCTATAGCACTATCTGTTTTTATTTTCTTTAATTAGCTTGCTTCAAAAACACAACCTTGAGGTTGTGGGAACAAGCACCATTTGGTTGAGCTATGGGTTGATAATATCAATCTACTTTTTGCTGGAGAATTCTGCATTTCCTCATATTTTCATGGAAGCTTGTGTAGAATGAGTTAGCTTTTAAGCATACAAATGCATTTCATGGGCAGAGTACATTATGACTTAAAATATCAGGAACTTTTGCTTGATGTGTCCATTTGACTACTAAATGTAGTAAGTATAATGATATATATGTGCAAAAAACATGAGGAAATATGCATACAGAATTTACAAAAAAGGAATATGATGTTTACAACCTGAGTCATGCAGCAACCCATAATTATTATTGGGATGGATCGTTATTGCAGTGCATATTATGATTAAGTTTCTCCAAATTATATTGGGTGGCATTTTTGTTGTTTAAGACCCCATACTGGAAGCAACCAATTCTGTTATATCTTCTTTAGCTATATTAGTTGTGGCTGTACGTTCCCTCCTATTTTGTTTCTTAGACATTTACCAGGATCTCCAAACTTAGGTATCGATCCTGCTCTCTGGTCCTGCTCCAGTACTCAATTAGGGATCTCCATGGCATTTGGATCCCCAGTGTTTAGGGCTCAGTCTTAGCCAACCGATGGGGCAACAAGAGGCTAAGAAGATCATTCATGTGGATCTTAGATTCTATCAAACTCTCTCTTTCTCTCTCGTGGTTTTGGATGTTGTAAAGTGTAAAACTGCAAATAAAGCAACTTGTTATGCTTTTGGATGCTGTGCAAGTGTAAAATTATAAATGAAGCAGATTTTTATCAATATAAAATTAGATTCCTTGTGTTGTTACTGGCTTTTTTGTTCTATATTATGAGATTATTGTTACATTAATTACATCTCAAATGAAATTTAAAAGTTGTTTATTAATTGAATAAAATCAAATTCATAAATAATTGCGTTTTTCTTTGTGCCCTTTTTTTATCGCATTCTGTTGGATTATTAGTTTTTTGTTTTTAATAAAATTTCTATTTTTAAAAAGTTATATTTATAAATTAAAAATTATGGAATGTGCTCCCTACCTGGGGAGGTTCTGTCATGTGTTGATCCATCGCACTCGCCCTAGCCCCTCTCTCAGCCATGCTCCCTCACGATGCAACTATACTCTTACACGTACTTCTATGTTTGATCCACAAGCAATGATTCAAAGTTAATTCCCCCCCACCCACCCACACACCAAAAAAAAAAAAGGAAAAAAAGAAAGAAAGATTTGAAAATGAAGATGTGTTTTTTTGTTGGGTATGATGAACAAAACAAGCAGCAGGAGTGTACAGTTCATTCTGTGAAGCAATTTGATGTTTGTGGAGTGTTATATTAGATGAAGCAGCTCAATATGGCTTACAAGTGACCATGAAAAAACGTTTTCTGTAATGAAGAGCTTTGTTGTTGCATGTCGCGAAATGTATCAGCATGCTGATATGTATTAGCATGAGCAAGCACTGGTCCTGACCATTGTAATTGATCATTGTGTCCATTATATTGGCCTTGGTGGCCTAGCATTTTTGAAATTTAAAAAAATATAGCCATTACAAGAAACAAGGCTACCATTCCACTCTTTTGAGTCAAATATTTAATATATATGTTATGCATCACCACTGTTGGTGTGCCATTTATATGTTATTTTTCTGGATAAGTTACCTATGCATCGTTTTTATGTTGTACAAATATATTGTATGATACTGAAATGAATATGAAATTCCAAAATGTTGGCAAGTTTAATGCAAGACGTATAACCTGTGATCATTATTTCTGATTTCTTTTCTCTTTGAGTACATTCATTCACACATAGCATATGTATTTATGTGTGTTTGTCTTGTGAATACACACATAAACTATGTCTAACTTCATAAGATGCAGTTCCACCTTGCCCAAATGTTTGTCTTGTGTTCTGACTGCAATCCACATCGAATGTTAAACTTGCCATAGAAAGGAGTTGTTTCATATTTGGTTAACTTCAACATATTGCTGGGGGTTCTAATCATGGTGATCTACAAGTGTTTCGATGTGTAATTGCATATCTAATTTTTAAAAGATTAGATGAATCACATATATGCATGTGGTCTTATGCTTTGTTACTCATGGATTTTGGGGAAGCTTCTCAGTTTCAAGCTTTATTGTAGCTATTTGTGACATGGGGGAAGCAATGGAGTATCGCTGCTTTATTGGGGGTCTATCATGGTCAACATCTGATAGGGGTTTGAGGGAGGCATTCGAGAAGTTTGGCCATCTTGTTGATGCAAAGGTAATATTTGTATATGTTTGAATGCTTCACTTGCTTCCCTTTTATATGTTTAAAGCTGTCTTCTTTTAAATCTCTTTGAATTGATGTTCATATTTGCATAAATTGCTTCACCTCTCTCTCTGCAGGCCCTTAGGGAACTGAACTTCATGCAATCAAACTACTATTATTCTGAATAATGTTTTATAAGTTGCTGGATAGTGCCTTGGTAGCTGCTTGCTCAGGCAGGCACATCAAACACATAAATATGCATATATTTATTTCATTTCAAGGTGTCCCATATGCATATATATACTCCCCAAACATTCATATATGCATGTACATGTATATATGGCATACATATATGTGCATATATTGTATATAATTCACAAATCTATGATTTCTGTATAAACTAATGAATTACATAATTTGTATAAAGTATATGTATAATCAATTGAACATTGAATTTTGAAAAGGAAAATTGTAAGGTTTGAAAGGAACAGGGTAATGTTGAATCACATTTGACACATGTAATTGTGAGATGTAACAACCAAAACATTGTTATGAAATCTGGGATGCAGAGTCGATGTACTAGGGTGGTCTGATGCTCATGCACCTCATTGCGATCTTGATGTGGTTTGCATCACTTCCAATGCGGTCAATAGATTTAAAAATTTAAAATTATAAAAATATGAGTATATAACGAATAACATGAACATATGATAGTAGGCATATAATTTAGTCTTTATCTCTAATATATCTGAATCTAAGTTGCTGATAGGTTGATAAAGAGTAGCAAAGGCATTTTTTATCTTTGTTCTCTAATGCAAATAATATGTAAAACAAATTGGTCAATCCCGCTCATTAAAGTAAATAAAACACAAAAAAAAAAAGTATTATACCAAGTTACCAACTAAGCATTTAAAACATAAAATAACATCTCGCAACTAACTGTAGCAAAACCCAAAATCCCAAATACTAGTCTAATTGTCTTAAAAGTAATTCCCAAAAATCTCATGAACTTTGTTGCCAAAACCCAAAATGCCAAAGAGACTATATAACTTGCATCCAAAGCTGACGTTGTTGAGCGTCAGAACATAGCACAAAATCAACTCGAATGATCACCCAAAGATTCCATACACTTCGTTGAAAATTGGGTGGTTGGGGTGTTGGGTTGGTTTTGGAGGTGTTGGTGTTATACCCCCTCCCAAACTCTTTTCCCTTCTTTTCGGTGTGGGGGGGACTATACTGCCTAGCTTGTGGGCATTATTTTCTCTCATCAGCAGGATGCCCCTATGCGAATACTCGGGCTATGCACGGCCTATGTGGATGCATCATGCTAGCCCGCACAGGCAGGCATATGTTATGGGCGAGGCGTCAAATCTCATAATGCTTAACAATGGAAACCCCCCTACTGAATTTTGTACCCTCGAGCCATGGGCTGCCTGAGACAGTTGCCTTAGCTGGGCCACGCCAAGGTACCTCAGGATGCCATGATTCTGAAAGATCTCCAATTTACAAATCAATGCCATTGAACAATGCAGTAGTTGCCACTCATGTTAGAGGCTGGGGCCATACCATTTTTCTTGATATGTCTCATGAATCTAAATATTGAAACTCAAACATTTGGTATGATTGCATTCCGTGGTTGTCTGCTAGTCATATGAAATGATGTGTTATATCATTCCAATTTTTTATCTTTTAAAGTAGTTGATAGATGTGGGTCTCCAAAAGTTCTTGTGAAACATAGAGAAAACAGGGAGGGAGGGGACTGGATTTTGATGCTGCAGGTTTTTAATAATAGAATGATCTTGTAGGGTTAGCCTCAATTTTGATCTAAACACTTTCCGGTATTTAAGGGCAACAAGCAGTCAAAATTCATAGTAGCTGAGTTTTTCATCAATATGAGATGACCGCCTGAAGTTTTTCGTTGTTAAAACAATAATATCTTGATTTGAATGAGAAAGGTTAAAACATGGGCTAGGGAATAACAGAAATGGATTAGTTGTTAATCCATGATATGAACCTGGTACATTTTTGGCTGATGGAGGTAGAAAGTTTCTTAAGGTCCTGTTTATGTGGATCATTGAATCACAAGGTATACTATTTTCTCTCATGTCCACTGGACAATATTTTTAACAAGTGTTTGGTCTGTCCTGGCGCGTCTTATTTAAAAGGAAAATTGTTTGATGCGGGCTGGACCGCATTTCTACATGTGCGGTCCAGAAATATAAAGCATCCATCTTAAAGATGGATGCAAATATGTGGTCCATCTAAAAACAAATGAAACTAATGGTCCAAATGTTTTCTAAATCAAATTATTATTTCCAGTTTTTAAAATTTATTTATATTCATGATCTTCGTGTTAGAGATTACATATCCTTAAAAATTAAGTCCAAAAATCCATCTCAAAAATAGATTTTTAACAAGTGTTTGGTTTCGATGCATCAGTAAAGGTCTTATTTTATTGGACCATTGATAAAGTTTTGAGTGTTACACATTAGCATTGGACTAGTTGATAAGCTGTTGTACTAGTAAGTTCCCTTAAACTGGATGGGTAAATGGCAGACTGGTTGCATCCAAAATAAACTATTACTGGCTAAAGCTTCTATTTGTAATTTTTTGAGGTACTTCACATGGTCTAAATACATCTTTTACCGGGCCCTCAGATTTGAGCTGTTCATCTCTTCTAAAACTTTTCCCTTACCCTACAAATTGTGTGATGGGACTTGTCCGAGACCAAATACAACTTGGGACTATAATTTTTTTTTGAAAAAAATAGAAAATTTGTAAAAAATGTGGAAATGTCCTACAAAGTTTTTCTTGGATGATTTACATTATTTGGAAAAGCTTGGCGAGCGTTTTTTTGCCACAATTACTATTTTTACATTTTTTTGTTTTTGGATTTGTTTAAAATGTCCCAAATTGTTTTAGCTTTTAAAGTTGTTTTGGGTTCCATTTTACTTTTACTACATCTTTTCTGTTTTTCATATTTTCCTTGTTTTTAGGGCCGTTTGGCCTTGTGCAGGCTCAGCTAAGTAAGTTCCCTTGGCCCCTCCCTGGGCTGAGGCAAATCCCAGCAGATTGCCTACAAATGATGCCATAGACCCTACTGTTAGATGTGTAGATTATTTGTGTAGTTCTTTTTTTTTTGAGGCCTTGTCAAGAAACATGTGCCCTACTTTTACTTGAAAGAGATGAATTTTGAGGGTTTGTTGCCGTCTCGGTTATTGCATTTAACTGTGCTTGCGTTGCCTGGCATAGGTTGTTGTGGACAGGTATTCTGGGCGCTCTCGTGGCTTTGGGTTTGTGACTTTTGATGACGAGAAGTGCATGGAAGAAGCCATAAACACAATGCATGGTTTAGAGATAGATGGCCGAGCTATCACTGTGGATAAAGCTCAGCCTCAGGGTGGCTCTGGGAGGGACCGTGATGGTGATCGCGATCGGGACCGTGGTGGTCGTGACCGTGGATATGGTGGTGGATCACGGGGGTCTGGTGGTGGTGGTGGTGGTGGTGGTGGTGGAGGAGGGTGTTACAACTGTGGAGAGCAGGGCCATTTTGCAAGGGAATGCCCAAGTGGTGATGGTGGATCAAGAGGTGATAGATATGGTGGTGGTAGGGAAGATAGGTATGGTGGTGGTGGTAATAGCCGTTATGGCCCTGACCGTGGTAGTGGGGATCGCTATGGTGGCAGGAGCAGGGATTCAGGTAGTCGTGGGGGTTCAGGTAACGATCGTTACAATCGTGACCGCTCGGGCCCATATGAACGACCTGGCCATGGTGGTTTCCGTAATTGATCAAATCAGTGGTGAGTAGTTTTTCTTGTGTGTTTTTGGATTGGCGAGTAGTTTTTCTTTTGTGTTTTTGGCTTAATATTGGTGGCTCTTTTTGTTGAATTAAATATCTCTTTTGCAGTTATGAACCAATGGAGTTGCTAGATAGTTGAGACTTGGTCAATCAACCTTATGGACTTTACAGAAGAGTGTGCCTTTTCTTTTGTTGGGGCATCTGCATTCAATGAGATCACCTTGGAGACACCTTAGTGACTTTACACTTGTGTTTTGGATGCTCTTACATTGTTTGATGGGGATGCCCAATGCCTGTGCTTGGTTTACATGCTTGATGATGGGATTTGATCTTTTTGAATTTGAATGCTATTGTTGCTGCTCGACTCTCAGTTATGGTTGTGTTATTGCAAGGATGTGCTGTTTGGTAAGTGCTATCCTCAACTCAGTGAGAAATATCCCTTTTTCCAGTTGAGGATAAGAGGCTTTCTTCTTGCATGAAAAACACCTTTTAGCATAACATGGTCAAAGATATACCTGGTAAAATTTATATCTTTTTTACCTTCTTACATGTGCCATTTACCATTCTCCTTAGAAATGGTATTAATTGTGTTAATGTTTTGGCAGGCTATTTATTGGCCTTATCTTTTTGGACGCATGGTTAGCAATCCTTTATCTAATTATGCACCTCTATGGCACACTCAGTTATTGTACTTGAATTTCTGAAACCTTTTGGGAACTATAAGGTTCATGGTGCATGGGTTCAACATTGCCAATTTCATGGAGGCAGTTCCTTTTGCCTAAATCATGGTCCTTAAGTCTCTTGCAAGCTTGCGAGGTTTATATCCTGGTTCTGTTTGTTCTACTTTTGTCCTTGCTGGAGAAGAGGTTGCTGTTTGTTTTCCGGTCTCTTGGTCTCGGTAGCTGCATGGAATAATAACATGGTCGTGGTAGAAATCTCCGAAGAGATCCATTGTTCTAAATGTGTTCTAGCATGATCATGATGTCTTTCTAAGCATAGCTGAATTTTTCCCCTTTAAGACTTCTCACAAAAACACATGCAAGAGCTCCTTTTATGTGCATTTTCTTTGAACATAGTCATGTTGGAACTCATTGACTTGGTCCACTTGGGAGAGATAACGAAATGCTTCAGTAACTGAAACTTGCATGCACTGCTACACTGAAGCATCTTGGATATCGTTTGGGTTGGCAAGCCCTCTTATGCATCGGGTTCATTATCTTTAGTGCCAAAATTTTGAGATGAACATATCAGCAATCTATGTTCGCGGTGTTCAGGCCTTCGTAAAAGCAAAATGTCAAGTCCTTGGGTGATCTCAAGTCACTCCTTTCAGTTAGTTGAATTTGGACACTAGGTTCAGTATCAAAGCTGGTTTTATTGTTCAGTGGCTTTGTGAACTTGTTTGATTCTACTATGGAGTGCTCGATGATTTTGTAGGCCACTATATATGCCTTGAGTTGTACATGTACAAAGCTTATTTATTTGTTCATGGCTGGGGAAATAGTTCTTCTGGTTGTGTTCAAAAGAATCGAGGTTAGCAGGTGGTGCAACAATTATCTGTTTGTTTTTTTCCTGAGAACTTCCAGAGGTTTAGACATAAATGCAATAAGTTGTTTACTGTATAGTATAACCTCTTAACCTTTTCTTACCAATGTGGCGTGTACGCTGCTCGTATTTTCCATGCATCTTTCTACCTTGCTGTTGTGTTGTGTTGTGGGAGCTATTCTTTGTAATTGGAATGCATGTACTTGCTTTTAGCTGTTAAAAGTGTTAATTTCACTTGTTCTCTCAATAAGGAGCAAGTATTTAAATTTAACTTCAAAAGTTTCTCCCTCTGCTTTAAGTCGCTATTCTAATTATTCATATACAAATGAAACAATCCACGGCTCGTTTTTATAGCTCCGGTGTTTCACGGATTAGCAGCAGAGTGAGCTGCTTTGAAACCCATAAGCTATCACGGTATACCGTCCATGTTTTCACTTGCAGCAAGCTGCTGCTAAGTGACGACTGCAAGATAAAGCTTTAGTTGCTTTGGATACCTTAAATCGGTTTTGAGAACTCTGCTCCCTTCTGCATGCATGTTGCGGCAAGCCTCTCTCAGTTGGAAGTGGCCGCTCTATCTCTCTTTTTATTTCATCTGTGTGTTTTTTTTGGTGGTGAGGAAGGGAACACCTGCATTTCATAAAGCATAAACAATACAAACAGCTTCGTACATACACAGGCAGGACACTCAAAATATGCACCTATTTACAAGTTGCCACACCCCACCCCACCCCACCCCATCATATCCGACGAGAGCCAACAAATTTCATCTTTTCCTTGTTTCCAAAACATCTAACACTATAACCAATTCCTGAGCTAGCGCACGTTCATCATTCATCAGTAGTACCATTCTTCTCCTTGTATCCATCCTTCTCCTTGTATGCATGCCTCGCCTGAAAGAATTGCTTTCATCAGCAAATCTATCCATGACTTCTTCCCATAACATCTTAGAGTCATTATTTGTTATCAGCACATTTATCCATAACTTCTTTCCAGGGTTCATGGCACTCTTTTTTAACCCATTTGGTAATCGAATTTCCTTCCACTACCAACTTAGCATCAAACCGGTGGTTTAACCCATTTGGTAACACTCATGGAATTTCTTTCCACTACCAACTTAGCGTCAAACCAGTGGTTTAAAAACCCGATTGGTGATCGAGCATTTCAAAAACCCATCCGGATCGGTGAATCCAGATCGAAAATCTGTCGGATTAAGCTTTACAAAAAGTTCAAAAAAATTATTAAAATTTGTTATAAATGTAGTTTTTTAAGAATCCAATAAGAAATCGGGGTAATACACATTATTAACTTTCATTTTTATATTAACTTTCATTTTTTTTATCAATATATGAATATTGAGATGTGTATTTTTCTGTATGAATTTATTTTAACTATTAAATTACATCACACAATAAAAATCATGGAATTACTATGGATGAAATATATAATCATACATGGACTACAATAAATAATGGTTTTTTGACAAGAATTTCGTAGTTTTTTTTGACAAAAACCTTCTATTTGTTTACAAGAAATGTTTGTTGTATTATATATATTTTTTTTAGCAAGAACCTTTTTTTTTTTTGACAAAAAATGCTTAGTTTTATTACTTTTTTTTTTTTTTTGATAAGAACTTTCATTTTTTTTTTTTGACAAGTACTTTTTATTACTTTTTTTTTTTTTGACAAGAAAAAGAAATTTGTCGAGAAAAGGATTGATAAGAACCTTTCATTTTTTTTGTTTTACAAAAAACTTTTTATTTTTTTGATAAGAAACAAAATTTGACAAAAAGCAAAATTAATAAGAACCTTTCATTTTTTCTTTGTACGAGAAACCTTTTATATTTTTGACCCTTACAAATAAATAAATTTATAATATTATAGAATTTAGAAATATAAATTTGTAATTATATTATAGTAAGATTAGAAAAATAAATAACTATCATACTTGCAATGTGGTTTGGGCTGGTGTTATTTTTTTTCTTAAAATGTCCTATAGACTAGGAATTTTTTTTAATGGTCACTAGACTTGTATAAATATTATTTTTTGTTGTTCCAATATCCTATGAATTAGTATTATTTTTTTCTTTTTAATCTCTATTAACCAATAACCTAATGCGTAATATCTAATAAAAAAGTTAGTTTTTATAAAAAAAGCTTAATTTAATTTTGATAATGGCCTTTATTAATGTAAAGAGGCAATAGACAACAACAAATTTGCCCCACATCGAATGGGGGGTCCTGTGTGCTATAAATGTTGGGAACCATGCATGATTTTTTCAATAAAAAGAGGCATCAATAAAAACATCGGAACCGCTTGGATATGCAGGATCACGTTTGGAGCGGGTATCACTGATATCCAATCCGGATTGTCCCGATTCCGGATCGAATCGACAATTTTTAGAACACTGCATCAAACTGTTTTACAAGTTTAAGATCTTGCAGCAATGGCTAACCCCCCACCTCTTCTTGTTTTCCGAGTTTAAAACCTTGCAGCAATGGCTAACCCCCCACCTCTTCCTGGACAACCCAGTGAACTCCCATTAGAATTGAATATGATATTACCCTTCATGAGGACACACCCAGACCTTTTTCATCACTCTCATACAGTACCTATTCATACACTTTTTGGAGTGCTCTATCCGAGTCACCTATCGGTTTCTTAAATCACTGGCACGGACATTATAAACCATGCTTGGGAAACTGGCTTTTAAAAGAAGAGTGCATCAGTTTCAACAATTGAACAAGTTCTTGATGGAAGGCGCGCGATAACTTTCATAAAAGACATCCGCGCTTGCAATTTTTGAGTCATCCTAAGATAATTATATTTGTCCTTTTGGGAATTGAGAAATTCGTCTTTCTGAGCGGCATGCATGTTAGCCGGCATTTGTAGATTGGTGGCTTCAACAAATGGGCATGCGGTGTGATTCTTATTTCGTTGAGCACCAGCCTAAGTGATCCTTGAGTGCTATAATGTCGGGTTATGTTCTCACCCAGTCCTAAACCAACATTTTTTTAAAAAAATTGTCGCTCTTAAATGGGTAAACTTATCGCTATTAAATGGGTGTGAAGTAAAAAATTGTTTTTTTTCTCTAAGGATGCAGTATCTACAAGCACCAGGCTTTATGAAGACCAAGCACGTCTCACCTCAAATCCTTATCTAGAAAACAGTTTGGGCATATAAATCACTATGATGGCTTTAAAATTAAATTTTAATACCAAATATCAAATTTGGAACTAAAAATTGCACAGATCTTGTTGATATATGAACACTTATTTTTAAGGGGAAATAGATGGTCTAGATAATGTATTCCAATATATACTACTTTTAGAGCTTTTGTTTTTTGACAAGCGCACAAAACTTTTATTCAATAAAAACTACCACGATTACAAGGATAAAGCATAAACAATCAACCGATAAACATGAACACTATTCTTAACTGCCGCCCGATTGTTAGTGCCGCCCAATCGTTACCGTCGCTCGATTGTTAATTGTCGCTCGATTGTTATTGCCGCCCGATCATTAACTGCATCCACCGTTAGTTAAGCCTTTGCAGAAAATTTCACAAAATTTTGGCAGAGCTTCCGCATGAGGGTTTGAATCACAAAAAAATCCCCTACGCCAAATTAATTGAAAAGTCAGGTCGGCGCATAGCACGGAGTTGTGACTAAAATTAAAGGGGAGGGATTTGTTTTCTTCCTTACTCGTCTTATGGCCGCAAGGTTCGCTATACTGAAAAAACGATGATAGAGAGGACCAAGCGGCGAGGGGAATACGTTCTGATCCCACTTGTTGGGGTCACCCACTTAGAACCCTCTCGCATGAATGCGGATATGCGCTGCGGAACCAGGATATATGAGACACAAAATATGTCAAAGTCGATATGTGTGTATATGAGTGGAAAAATATACAATAAGATAAATAAATAAATAAATCTTATTGGGACTGAGATATACATGGTTCACCTTTTTAGGCTACGTCCACAGGAGAAAGAGGCGAATCCACTCTTAACTCAAAGGTCACAATAGTCTTCTACAAAACCAACTTTCTTGGGATCATCGATTTCATCTAGATACTTCTCTCTCTCAGAAAATGATAACTTTATCTCTTTGAGGTTTTTCTCTTTCAGAGACTTTTTTTTTCTAGAGAGCCTTTCTCTCTCTAAAAGAAAACATTCTCTCTTTTTCTTCCCTTCTCCCTCTTTTCTCTTTGAACAAAAACAGAAGACTTAAGAAGATGATCACTGACTCTCATTCATCTTCTTCTTCTCTCTAAGAAGAAGGGTAACTCTCTCTCTTCTTCTTTTTCTCTCTCTCAGAGAAGGATAACTTTTTCTCTCTTCTTCTTTACAAAAGAAGGCTTTCAGTATCTCTGATACATCAAGAAGAATTTGCCCAAAGTGGCTCAAGAGAGGTGCATCCTAAAATGGTCGAAGAGATGTGGCTTTGATTAAACCAACCAAGAGGTACCAAGAAAAGGCTGTCATGTGATTCTCTTTTGTATATTGGCCCATGGATAACAACTATAGTTAGAAGTGTATCCTATAATTTCTTAAAAATGAGGTATGTCTTATATCTCTATCTTCTTTTATAAAGAAGATATGATGAATACCTTTTTATATATGTGAGATTCTATTTGTGCGGGAGGGTAACTTAGTCAACAAGTTAGTTTTTTCCATTTTCCCAAACCGCCCCTCTAACAATATAACAATTCCATTGATATCCTTCCCTCATGGGATGGGACACCCAACATGGGTAACTCAAAAATATTCTTTTTTAAAAAATGACCTGAGCATATGACTACATGAATACCCAATCGCTCATATAGATGACAACAACATGTTGCTTTGTTCTCAGTGTTTCTGAATATGACCATGTGAGTTGGGCGATATACCCCATATTCTTTCAAACTAAAAGTGCATACAACCTTATTATCCTGTTGCACTTCACAAGTAAGACTAACGGCTTTCATCAAATCTACCTGAAAGAAGTTTAAAAAGATAGTTGGGGTATTAATTTCAGACATCTGCTTCCCTATGCGAGAGGCAGTCTATTTTGTTATGAGATTTAAATTGCAATATTTTCATCATCAAATTTTTTGTCAATTAATTCTTGTAGTTTTCCTACAAATATAGTTAAGTTGAATCCACATATGTCTTGATTTCCTTGTTTAAGGCGTCACTTCTTCCACTTGTCCTATTGCCATCAAAGAAGCAATTTTGTAAATATATGTCTATCCACTGATGTCGAATTTCATACAAGGATCGCAACCATTCATTATTCATTAAATCATATTTTTCTATCATTGTTGTTCATCAAGTTTTAAATTCCTTTATGGAATGCATTTGTAGAAGTCTGCACGGAAGGATGGATATTTGTAGTTAACTTGTGTCAGTTTTGCTCAAACTTTTGAGTAATATCATAATACACATTTTTAGGGCCATTGCCATGTCGTGGTTGATGACTATTGAATTGGGTTGACACCATTCATTACCTTGGGTCACTTGTTAATAGCCAAGTCAAAAGCTCCTCATTTTCTTTTTGAAGCCAAAAACATCCAAAGATTATAGTTTTGGTGTAGCGCCTCACTCCTAAAATTAGGGCGCATTGTATTTGATAGTTTTGTACGTGGTGTTGAATATAATAGAATCCCCAAATATAATAGAATCCTAAAATTAGGGCGCATTGTATTTGATAGTTTTGTACGTGGTGTCGAATATAATAGAATCCCCAAATAACTAAAAAACAATCATCAATTTCGCATCAATCCAGAGTACATCGGTTAGGTGACCACCTTCATAAACTTGCATTATGTATATAAATGTCAGGTCCGCTGCAATCTTAGTAGCAAAGAACTCCATTAACCCTTCCATATCCGCTACTATCAACTTTGATTTTTTTTTTTCTGGCTTCTATAGATTTCATTCCTGCAATCTAGTTCTATAAAAGGGAGAATCTTTGGTCCTCTAGCTTGAGTACTCTAACACTTTTATTATCTTTAGTGTAGTTAATCCACATGGGTTATACATATGGATCATATGTCTAATGGGCTCCAGAATCTGGCGATGTGACAAACGAGATGGACTTCGGAAGTTGAAGACATGAGTTTGTTCTCTATTGTGCTTTACAATGATCCACATACCATCTTCATTTGTTCTTTATTCATAATAAGGCTTTGTACCCCATCCTTGTTTTGGGCCATGACTGATTCCCCTCATATTTCTTATGTCGATAACATTCTTTTAAACATATATAATCAAGTGCAATGAGTGATTCATATTTTCTTGAACAACAGGTCGAAAAACACCTAACACTAAAACCCAATTTTTCATATTTATTATAGAAATCAAATGCTGCTTCATGGTATTCAAACTGCATACCATCTTTTGGGACATCATCACTAAATTCAAGCCTAAGAGGATCAATCATGTTAGTGTCATTTGTATCATATGTATCTTGATCTACATGAAATTTACTGCTACCTTCACTATCCAAATCAATAATATCCATCTTTTCATTGTAACAACTAAAATCATTATAGTCCACCTCCATTGTGTAATCCTCAATAGGAGTTTTTGCCTTCATACTTGTCTTTGTCCCACTAGCAATTAAATTAGTTCCCATCTCCAAGTCAATTCTACGGGTCATGTCCATTCTATTTTATAAACTATAACATTTAAGGAAAAAATAATTAGAAGATTTATTGACCTACTTTAAATCATATAATAATTCATAAAACCCCCAAGCTATCATTAAATACATTTCTCTTACTACAATATTGGTATCACTACTCTTATTATTCTTCAGCATTCTATTATTACTCTATAGTACTACCGGTATTACTTAAAGGTTTTTCTTTCATATTAAACAATATTATCAAAACTATAAAAATTTAAATCAAAATCTCAGAAAAGTGTTAAAAAGAACTTGTAGATGGTGCTACTAATGATAACATAAAATATCTATAAATATACATTTGTGATATTTGCTATGATATAATTTTGAAATCATTTAAAAACAACAAATACATATTCAATCCTCATTTTGGAAAATACTTATTTTTTTATTATAGGAAATTAGATCTTCATTAATTAAAGGCTAAAAAAAAATTACAGAATCCATGACTAAAGTCTCAGTCAAGGCAAAACCACCTTTAAAAAGATAATCGGCCACAACATTGCCCTCATGAAACACATGCAAAAAGGAAAAAGCAAAGGGCCTGGATAAATACCAAATATGTATCAAAGAAGACCTGAATTCCATTGCACCAATTAATGATATTCATCGAGTCTTCTTCTACCACACAAAAGTGACCCACCCTTCTTTCCACAAAGAGTTTTAAATCATGAAGTAAGGCCATCATCTCTGCATAGTTAGCTGTTTTTCCCACAACGATTCTGCATAAGAAAAAACAACATTAGCATTCCAATCTCTCATTGTACTTTTAAAACCAGTAGGCCTTGGATTCCCAAAGGAGGGGCCATCAAAATTAAGCTTAAAGGTCCATTCCAATAATGGCATCCATCTACCATTCGGTTTGCTCTTGAATGTGCCCATTCGGAAAAGATTTGCTAAGTTTCTCTTAACATCCACTTCTAGCACATCAGACCCCACTTTCATCATAGAGCAAGAGAGCCAAATAGAATGTAAATTTTTTTCAAGGACTCTCTCCATAAGCAGGTAGATACGATCAAACACTCAATGATTCCTTTCCTTCCAAACTTCCTACAAAATCAGACCCCTCACAATCTGCCAAATAACCACTCCAGTTTTGGGAAGCTAGTTGATCGACAAGTTTGAGATAACCCCTACCATCTCCGCAGGCATCACCATCGTGACCCCCAGTTTATCAAAAAAACAACGCCATATTTTAGAGATTAAAGAATAATGAAGAAACAGATGAAGACCTGTTTCAGCATCATCCTTACACAACAAGCAAATATTAGGCAATATCCTACATCTTTTGATGAAATTTTCAATAGTGAGTACCTTATCTCATAGAAAGGCTTGAACCTTCAAAGGCAATGACCATTTCCAAAGGGTAGCAATTTTAGGCAAAGACCATCTCCAACGGTCATGGAACAAAAGCTTATACATAGACTTCATCAAATATAGCTCATCTGAATCAATCTCCCAGATAACTACATTTGAGGCATGCTGTGGGATATAGACTTCTTGAAGAAGAGATAACAGGCTCACATACTGTCGAAAAAGATGCTCAGAGATCCTATTATAGGGCAAAACAATATTCCAAAAAACCTGGTCTCATATGCATTCATGATGATCAACGACAACAGTATTGGGGTTATCCATACGCTGAAAAACTGATGGAAAGAGATATTTCAATGGAGAAGACCCCACCCATTTATGGTGCCAAAAGGATATATTACGCCCATCACCCAGACACCAACAAATATCTCTATGTATCAAGGATTTGCAAGAATTTATGGACCGCCAACAATATGATATACCCTTAGTGCTATTTCGCAAACCAACCCACATTTTTAAATCTATCCTCACCGTACTTGACAACAATAACTTGATACCACAACTGGTCTGTTAGCTTCAGGCTTCTCCACCACCATTTACAAAGTAGAGCCTGGTAACCAGTTTGATTCTTCTTATACCTAATCCACCCTCCTTCCTAGGTGTGTAAACTCTATCCCAATGCAAAAGATAGAGCTTTTTTGAATTTTCAAATGAATCCCAGAGAAATTTCTTGGCCACCCTAGTTGGAATCTACAAAAAGGACATCTAATAAATAGGTTAGTTAGAAACATTCTTTAATCAGGGTGATCCTACCTCCAAAAGATATATATTTGTATTTCCACAGATCAAGCTTGACTTGTATTCTTTGGATCACTTTATCCCAAACAACCAAAGGTAATCGACCGCCTGATATTGGTCCCAAATACATAATTGGGAAGCTTTCCACCTTACAGCCCATCTTCGCAGCAATCTCCGAAAGCAAAGTCTCACCACAATTAATACCTACCACAATAGACTTATCAAAATTAACCTTGAGCCCCAACGCCACTTCACAGAAGCTCAGGAAGGTTGCAATATTAGCCAATTGATCAGGCCTAACCTTACAAAAAAACATAGTATCATCAGCATATTGTAAATGCGAGACACAAGGATCCCCAATGGGCAATTGGAAACCCACAAAATGACCGCAAGCTACAACACTGTGCAGAAACCAACTGAAACATTCTGCATAAATGGTGAACAAGAAAGGGGATAGGGGATCACCCTGCCGAAGCCCCCTGGAGGCTCGAAAAAAACCAGTCAGCTCCCCTTGAACAGAATACAGAAGTGAGAAGATGACAAGCAACCATAAATCCAACTTCTCCACTTATCACCAAAACACATTATTTTTCATGATTTCTAACAAAATGCCTCATTCCACCATATCATAAGCTTTTTCTATATCCAATTTAATCACTACCCCTGCTTCACCACTCAGAATTTTGGAATGAATGCACTCCTGAGCAACCAGGACATTGTCAATTATCAATCTATCATTGATGAATACAGACTGAGGGCCTGTGATGGTGTCAGGTAGGACTATTTTAAGTCGTTTCTCTAACACTTTGGCAATAATTTTATAAATGATTGAAAGCAAACTAATGGGTCTTATATCACCAAGGCTTGCAATAACTGATTTTTTACGAATAAGCGCTATATAGGAGGAATTAACCCCCCTGAATAGCTCACATCTTCTCATAAAATCACAGATCATATCCAACACCTCACTACAAACCAAATTTCAAAATTTATGAAAAAAGAAGAGGGGAAACCCATCAGGGCCCGGTGCCTTATCATCAGGGAGGGCAAAAACTGCTTTCTTCACTTCTTCCATGGACACTTCCTTCTCAAGCAAAGCTACCATACAAGCCGACATACGCTTAAAACCCACTCTGGCTAACCGTGGGGTAACCTCCACCTCCGTTGTAAAAGCTTTTTTGAAGTGGTTAACCACCGCATCAGCCATCTCATTGTCATCCTTAGGATCAGTTCCATTAATCAAAAGCTTAGAGATATCATTCTGACGTCTCCTAACATTTGCAATAGTATGGAAGAATTTAGTTTTTAAATCACATTCTTTCAACCATTTGACCCCAGGTCTTTGTTTCCAATACATCTACTCGATCCTGCGAAGCTCCTGTAATTCAATTGATTTAGAGCATCTCTCCACCATCTGCTCCTCAAAGAGAACTCTTGAGATCTGGACGCAAGCATCCAAATCGGCTAAACACTTTACAGCGTGATCAATTTTATGTTTCACATGATATCTCTTATCACTCCACCAAACAATAAGCTTGTGCTCGACTCTTAAAAGCTTTTTAGGGAGTTGAAAATCAACAAAGCCAAAAGAGATAGAGTTCTCCAATGTACTTTTAATAATATCCACCACACCTTTTGCAGCCAGCCACCCAATTGGAAAATACTTATTGGCGGTCAATTGTTTGTTGTTCATATAGTTTATTAAAGAATCATCACTAGCTATCACCACAAGCTAATTACATCTTTTACATGTCTAAAGAAAAAAAAAAACGTTGAAAAAGTTCTTGAAAAGAAAAACAAAAAAATCATTTTCACTTTGCATATAGATGCACCTACATTAAGCTCCAACCAAAACGAAATATACAATAAAAAACTAAATTCAAAGACTACAAACAAAACCGAAAAATAGGACACCCCTCTTCCAGATTTGCTTCATATAGAAAAGTAAAAGGTATTGAAACTACCATCGCTTCTCAATATCGTCAAAATGAACGATAATAAAATACTAAGGGGAACAAAAAAAATGCAGAAGATGAGTAATTTTTTCAATGTTCTTTAAAATGTAAGTTCCCAGTATCTTTATGAATGACCAAAAAATCTTGGTCCTGGTTGATTAAAAAATCATAAAACAAATACACATAAGAAGCTAAACCATAGTGAAAACAAATTAAAGATTTTGTAATTACTTGATTTTCAAAGGGATATTTAACAAAATTAACGTTTTTCAGTATATTCTCTCTAAGATACCTCAAAAAGAAAGGAGGGCAACACTTTTAACATTTTCGAACCAACAACACAAACCAAAACAAAGAATTAGGGTTTTTCTTAGTTGGTTATTTAAAGAATTTTGATCCCGTGTTTCACATTTTCAAAGAACAATTGCATTGCGAAACCCTACTAAGAGGTAAAAAAAAAGAACAAAAAAAAAAGGAAAAATTGAATAAAATCCCCAAAATGGACTTTCTGCGCAATTTACCCCAACCTAAATTTTCTTAGCAACGTTTTTTCCAAAACCATGTTTTCTAGGATATACCCCCAACTCAAAAAAAAAGAAGAAGAGAGACTAAAATACCATTCTCTTACCTCACACATTGACCATGGTGGTCCGACATTTCACAAATGCGGTCCGAAACTTCACCATGGCAGTCCGATGCTTAAGTCACTGATTTGGATCGGTCCGACACTTCACCATAGCGGTTCGGAGTTTGGAAGAGGCGGTCCGACATTTGTTTTTGGATTAATGAGCGGTTCGGCGTTTGTGAACTACGGTCCGGCAAAATTGAAAATTGTCTGGAATAGGTGGCCCAGCAGTGTACAGTTCTAGTCCAGCAGAATAGATGGGTCCAGCAATATACAACCGCAATCTGGCGTTTCCTTTTATTGGGATTCGAAAATGATTTGTTATGTACAGGAAGGGTATTTTCTTCAAAAAAATGAAATTTTTGTATTGAGGGGGGGGGGGGGGGGTTATTTGTTATAAAACTTGATTTTTGAAAAAAATATGCTAAGAAAATTAGGGCGGGTTAAGTATTTTTGAGGGTTTTATGTAATTTTCCAAACAAAAAAAATTAGGGGGTTTTATTACCAAATAGGTACAATTTTTATGTAAATTACCATGACACCCTCACTTCAGCGGCCCTTTTTTTTACTTTCCATAACTGTCTGCCTATCAACACTGGGCACGAGGGAAATACTTCTTTATACATTGTATATAGTCTGCTCCCGAGGAGCTTAATGTGCATCTACTTCCCCAGTCAAAACAACTAGCTATACTGATTTTTTAGTCTAAAATTTTGTGAACGATGTAGCAATTACTAGAAGATTATTTTTAAAATAAAGATTGAATTTTGAGTTTCGTGGCACTTAGATCTAGCCATTCAAAAATGGTATTTTTTTCTAGTATATAGAGATTTTATTTATGAATTTCTTTTTGCTGAGAATATTCTATAGGTTGTCGAGTTTATATCCCTCAACCAAAAAGGTATCCCTAGCATTATTTTAGTTGAGGGAGTAAATGGATAGTGTTCTCCAATGGGGAGTAAATAGTTATAAAAAGCATTTGAAAACATGTGTATTTCTCTCCTATACTTTGGAAACCATATAGTCCAATCGCCTAGGTTTTAAACGGGAGGACGAACGATAATTGTGATGTCCTCGTCCTCAAAGTAAACAATCTTATTGCATGCTTTTCGATATTTGAAACTCCCATTTCCATTGCAGTATTTATTCATAAGCAATTGTTATAATGTGCATGCATCCGTTTCTATGTAAACTAAGCCCCCAAAACGAGCATGTGTGAGCCACTGAACAATTCTATCCCTTTGGATGTATTCTAAGAATTGCACATTACAATGAGAGAGAGAAAGGATGGGCGACGGAGGCCTAGGGGTGATAACAGGACCTGGACTTGAAAAACTATTGTCGAACTCTGACTCGGATCTGGACCGGGACCTGAAGTCACTGGTCGTGGACCCAGGCTTGAAAATATAATGTGGGACCCAGATTCAGATCGGATCCAAAAATATAAAGTGGGACACGGATCCAGAGAGCGATGAAATGAGAGAGAGATTTGGTCAATAAACTTCAGCAAATTATTTGTAATTTCTGCTGATATTCCTTAAAAGTGAGAGACATCATGTACAAGCAAGTCTTTTTTATCAAATGAGTAGATCTCAATGGGTGTTGTTTGAGAAGCATTTGAACACATTTCTTTTCTTTTCCTTAAAAGACACCACCTTCACCCTTTTCCTCTTCTTCTAATAATTTTCTCTCTCTCTCTCTCTATATCTCAAGTGTTCACCTTTTTCCCCTTCTAATTATTATTGCTCCCTCTATCTTTCTCATATGTTCAGCTTCTTTTTTCTCCTCTCTTCTACTGATGATTATGCTTTCTCTCTCTAAAATCTGTAAATTTTGTTAAAACCAGTGGCTTCACATGGGACCCCCATAAAGTGCTCCTCAAGTTATGGTGGAAATTAAATTGATTGCATGGCTCCAAGAAACTCTCCCAAATAAGAAACCGATTTTCTCAAAATTCAAACCCCATTTCTAAATTCTTCAAAAAGGAAGTAGAAGTAGCAAGTCTTACTGTCTCGCCCTTTCCATTCAAGATGAGGCACGACGTGCTATGCACTAGCCTTTGCGATAGCTTGGAATTGTATATATAATTAAAGGATGCATGCACAAAGTACACATCTAACGTAAATATCACATTTATGTGCCTCAATTCTTTAATGCCAATGGACCGACATATCACACCCAACACTTGCATTGTCTCCAAAATCCGCAAATTCAATTAACAATGAGATAATTTTTGTATGTGGTTTACATATACTTGCAACCTTAAATAATTAATGTAAGGGATGCAATTTTAATAATTAATGTAAAGTGCACCTCCAAACTTTATTATGAGGTTCAATTTTGGCATCGAAAATTCTTTGGATAATGCGAGGATCCATTTTTATCTCTAGTTATAAAATTTTATGCTCCATAAAATAGGTCAAATCACATAGATCTATAAACACTTGAAAATTTTAAAAATAGACAGTCTAGATAATATATTGCAAGATGTGCTCTTTTTAGAACTTGAAGCCTTTGATTTTCGCCATGATCTATATAATATATTACAAAATATGCTCTTTTTAGAACTTAAAGCTTTTTTTTTTTTGCCATATCTATACATTTCGATGTCAAGATGATCAATTATATTTTTTTTCTAACATTAAAAGAACCTTTTTTCAAAGTATTTTAGAGGTGCATGTTAGTTCTACATTTTAAGGTGTCAACCTTAATACTTTTTTCTTACAAAATCAGTATATAGTTGAGGAGTGCATGCTATGCTTATTGGAGAGCACCTTGCCAAATCTCAACCATCCAAGCCCGTGATACATGAGCATGCTCACTAGAAGACATGCTGCATCCACTCGTCGTTGTTTAATGTTTACTAAGCTACAATATGCTCCCTAGTGGAACATAGTATATTATCCCTTGAAGTTCATGTTATACTCATCATTAGTCAATGTCTCTTGAGCATGCTACAATAGGCTCCCTAGTGGAACATAGTATGTTATCCCCCAAAGTTTTTAAGTTTTTTTGTTTTTTTGTTTTTCCTGTAATCTTTCATTGAATCAAGGTTTAAAAACACACTTCAGTGACCCTGATAGCCCATCCAGAAAACCGGTCCGCATCAATAGTCCGAATCGGCGATCTGACCTAGTGAACTAGTGAATAAAATATTTTAAAAATTAGAGAACATAAAGAATTGAAAAAATATTTAAAAAATTAACTGGGTCTGGTTCTCTGATGGGGAATTGGTTGGTTCCCAATATTTAACAGGATCCTGATTGGCCTGATCAATTTCCAATCTAAATCACTTACTAGTTTTGATCTGGATCACCGATTTTTTAAAGTTTGCGTTGATTATTGGGATTGATTTCGAAACAAAGAATTGTTTTACTTTTAAGTTCCAAAAGCTTGAAGTCTTTGCCGACACAGGCTAGATGCCATTTTAAAGTCCTTTCAAATTTGTGAAGAGAATGACAATTGGGCATTGTTATGTAGTTAAGATCAATTTAAATATTATTTAAAAATCCTAACAACCCAAGGACCAATTTTAATCAACATTCTTTAGTGGTGGGAAGTCACACCATGCACAGTGCATGTAACGCCTATTGTGCTTATTGGATCACCTCACCATTCATCTTAATCGGAGGCAATGGACCAATTCTTGCATGCACTTTAAAAATCCATCGTTGTTTAGTCAAGTTAAAGAACGACCCATCTCCCATCATCCGCCACAGAGATGGACGATGGAGATGATCTTAGCAAGTTAGATGCATGTCCTGATTATACCGTGCTCCAGCGGGAGCGAGCGAGCTGTGTAATTACTCCCTCAGGCAAAAATCCTATTTTGAAATTTTTCTCGATCAGATTCACTTTAGAATCACCATTTGATTATTTTTAAAGCAAAGGTTGGAAATTCAGCTCTTCAATATAAAAAACACTAATCCAAAGGTTCAAAATTACCAGGTTTGTTTTTTCAACTGCATGCCTAGGATATGATCCAGCGAGACCATATAATCTTTTGGCTTATATGGTTTTCAAATAATCTCTCATTGTTCATCTAATTTACCTTCTAAAACAAACATTCACTTGGTCAACAAATAAATATGGAGCTATTTTGTTTTATTGTAT